GGGTCGAAGAAGACTCCCTCTTGAGATGGTTCGTCGAATTGGATGACGCCATAAGGGCGCGTCGCATCGACGACGGGGATATGCAAGCTGCATTTGCCCAGTCAAATCTGGCAGGACGTGCCAAGACTTGGGCACTGGGGCTCAAGCTGCACGACCCATACGCGTTTGGGTCGTTGGAAGTCTTCAAGTCGCGGCTCAGACAAACGTTTGAACTGCCTAGAGCTGAGTTCAGAGCTCGAACCGAACTCTTGAAGCTCAAGCAGGGTAAGCGTGATGTGCACGCTTACGCTCAACATATACGACATCTCACGAGTTGTATAAGTTCCATCCGGTGGATGAACACACGTTGGTTTCGGTGTTCATGCAGGGTCTTGCGGATGGTCCCGTCAAGACTCACCTGTTCCGGCTTGAACTAGATTCACTAGAACAAGCCATTTCAATTGCGGAGCAGGAAGACTTCAGTCTGAGACAGGCTCGCGCCAGCTCGACATCATATCGTCAACCGAGACGATATGACAACGGAGGTCCAGAGCCGATGGAACTCTGTTATGTAGAGAGCGAGAAGGCTCGCTCTACAGGCTACAAGAAGTTGCAGAGATGCAACAGATGTCAAAAGACAGGACACTACGCTTACGAGTGTAGTGCTCCTCGTCCAGTGTCTCGCGACACTGGGCGTAGTGACCGTCCACCCATGAGAAAGGGGCAGGGACGAGGGTCCGCAGTTGGTGCAAAGACGCAACAACGGGATGGACCGTCAAAACGGACAGGATCAGTAGGTGCGGAGCACCCTACTGATCCAGCAACGTCAAGAGAATTTGTAGGCCTCTTGATGAAGGTTGCTCCCAACACACAGACATTGTGCGTTGCTGCTCTAGGTAATGAGATCTCACTCATTACCTTGAAACTCGAAGTGACGAATAAGTTGTCCCTTCGAGCTCTAGTCGATTGTGGGGCGTCCAACAATTTTGTGCGACGCCAATCGCTAGAAGATGGTCACTTTAAATTCAGTGAATGTGACACACCTCCTACGAGGATGACGGTACGTCTTGCGACAGGCGCATCCGTAATCAGTCATGAAGCGTATAGTGAAGATCCACTATACGCTAGAAGATACCCAATACGACGATGACTTTATCGTATTGGATTTGGATGACAAATTTGATGTCATCCTGGAATACCGTGGCTCAGAAGGTACGAACCACGGGTAAACTGGCAACATCGGACAGTAACGATGCCTGCCGCTTGTTCATCAGATGGCCATCTGATGAACGTTTTGGAGCGTCCACAAGCGTGTGGATGTACTACGAGTGAGTGCGATGGCCTCACTTGTGGTACGGTCGTTAGTACGACTGCACAAAACCTTAGTGTACCAAACGGTTACACTTCGGAGCAAAGTTCCGGCGGCTGTGAGGAAACACAGGCTGCGCCGAAGGTCCACCACTCGAATAAGTCGGGTGGACTGGGACAAAGATGTATCCCTAGAGGGGAACATCTAGAAGAGAAACAATCGATCGCTCAGGTTAAGCGAAACGATAATCCTAGATCGACTGGAGAGTCTTTCGTAGAGGATCTCGCTGTGGTTGCGCAACCCCAGCTAGAGGAAGTAAAGGGAATAAGTCCCAAGATTACAAATACGGCGGAAATAAGTTCCCCGAAACCCGCGGGAATAAGTCCCCGGGAAGACGAAGGAATAAGTCCTTCGAAGCCTGAGGGAATAAGTCCCCAGGAAATGACAGAGACATTGAATGTCATAGTCAATAACGGATCATGTGTAGGCGCTTATACACTTGATCTGATTGCGCCTCCGAAGTTAACTTCGGAGATCACTCAGTTGCCAACGCTCGAACATAAAAGATTCTTGCGTGATCTGCGTAGTGGCAAAGTCAAGCAGATCTGCATACTCGTCGCTGAAGACGAGTATGTAACCGACATAAGGTCAGCAACAGTGTTTACTGAGAACGAGAGAGTTTCAGTAGTTCATCTATGGACGAGAGTGTCCTAGATGAAAAGACACGAATTGAGCGATATGAGTCCCAATCATGGGAATCGCTCAAGGAAAATCCTCTCTATGAAGATTTGGTTGAATTCAAGGATGTATTCCCTGAAACTGTTCCGTGCGAATTACCGAAGGATAAAGGTATTCGACACGAAGTCGAGCTTAAACCAGGCTCGAAGTACTGTGTCATGAAGCAGTGGCCACTGCCTCGTGAACAGTACTTGCGATCGACAAGTTCTTTGCCGATCGTTTAGCAGCGGGCCATGTGAGGGAATCAACTTCCCCACATAGCTCTCCGACCTTCTGTGTGCGAAAAGCAACAGGAGGGTGGCGGATAGTGCACGCGTTCAACAAATTGAACGCTGCAACGGTACCGGCTCAGACGCCGATACCGAGGAAGGACGTAATCATTGATGGTATGTCAAAGAGTACCATCTTTTCGTCCATGGATTTGATGGATGGCTTCTATCAAATCCTTATGCGAGAACGGGATATACCCTATACCGCAGTTAGCACGCCTAGCGGCATGCTCTGGGAATGGCTAGTAATGCCACAAGGGCTCAGTAATGCCCCTGCCACGTTCAACAGATGTGTATCACATCTGTTGAGACCAGTACGAGAATTCGCGCCGAGTTATTTCGATGACGTATTCATCCATAGTCGAGCTATGGATGGAAAGTCGGACGTTGAGGTTCACAAGTACCACGTCCGACAAGTTCTTACAATCATGCGAAAGCATCAATTGTATGTAAACCTCAAGAAGTGTATATTTGCAGCAAGCGAAATACCACTTCTTGGGTGCATCGTTGGTAAGAACGGTGTACGTCCTGATCCCGAAAAGATCAAGGCGATCACCGACTGGCCTGTGCCGGTCGATGTCAAAGGTCTTCGAAAATTCCTTAGCTAGCGGCGTATTTGCATAAGTATTCACGCAATTACGCCGAGATGACTGTACACCTCTCTCGTTTGTTGAAAAAGAACGAGAGGTGGTTATGGAACGCTGAATGTCAACGCCTTTGAGGGTATCAAGCAGAGCTTGATACAATCCCCAGTCCTAGCAATAGCCGATCAGGACAGGCCATTTCATGTGGTCTGTGATGCCAGCGATTTCGCAATCGGCTGTGCATTAATGCAGTACGACCTTGAAGGCGTTGAACGCGTCGTCTGTTATCAGTCGCGTCAGCTGCAACCAGCTGAGCGGAACTATCCAGTGCATGACAAGGAACTCCTTGCCATGAAGTATGCACTCGCGAAGTTCAGAGTCTATCTATTAGAGATAGACCCTTCGTTGTTTACACTGACCATGCGTCCTTACGCACGGCAGTGAACAGCCCGCACCTTTCACAACGAATGGCGCGGTGGTTGTCATTCTTTGCAGAATACAACTTTACGGTCGAGTACAAACCAGACGACTTAATGTCGTCGCTGATGCACTCTCACGTCGTCCCGACTTTGAAACAGTCGCGAAACCCAACAGTGAGACAGTCACTGTTGCGGTTATGACGTCCTCAGTCCCATCTACAATGTTGTATGATGATGTGAGGCGGGCATACGCCCAAGATGGTGAGATAGTGAAGTTGTTGTCACATCTCTCCCAACCATCCCGAGAATCGTTGAAACGATTGTCGTTCGCGTATCGATCTGCATCAGATCGATACACTACTCGTAACGGTTTACTGTATTATACAGCCGTTTCTGGTGACACACCACGTGTTGTCATTCCAGATGATACTGATCTGCGTTTGCGGATCATGTTCGAGTATCACGATGCTCCTATAGGAGGACATCGTGGCCGAGAGAAAACATATCTCACGGTAAGTCGAGACTTTTACTGGCCCCGCCAGTATCAGTTTGTGCGAAAGTATGTTCGCGCATGCGAAGTCTGCCAACGAGTGAAGTCAAGTCCTTCACTGCGTGCACCTTTACAGCCTCTACCGGTTCCGGCTGAGTGCTGGGAATCCATCTCAATGGATTTCGTCTTCGGGTTACCCAAAGACGCACGCGGGAATACGGGTATTCTCGTATTTGTTGACAGATTCAGCAAAATGGTACACCTTGTGGCTGTACCAGAGACAATCACGGCAAGTGGCTGTGCTTGTGTCTTTATTGACACCATCTTCCGACTTCATGGGTTGCCCCGTGAACTCGTATCAGACAGAGATCCACGATTCACTGCTGATTTCTGGCGTTCCGTGTTCAAATCACTCGGAACGCGCTTGAAGATGTCAACATCTGATCATCCAGAGTCAGATGGTCAGACGGAACGTGCCAATCGTGTCCTTGAAGAGATACTTCGAGGATACGTACACTCCTTTAAGAGTTGGAGTGAGTTTTTGCCGATGGTAGAGTTTGCCATCAACAACTCGGTGCATGCGTCCACGACACATACACCGTTTTACGTGAATGGCTTGCGCCATCCGCGTGTACCCACCTTACTAGAGTGTAACTCTGGTTTAAGGGGGGAGGGACTCGCGCGAGCAAAACCGATTTGGTTCACGCTCATCACGCTCTGACGAAGAAGTCATTGCGTTTGATGCCGATATCGATAACATCGATATCGAAGAAGATGATGCCAGTGAGAGTGCGGAAGCCCTCACTGAAGACAATGATCCCAGTGAGAGTGCGGAAGCCCTCACTGAAGAAAAGGTTGTTGTCGCTGCAGTGCGCTCACAGCACACTGAAGCTAACGAGTCATCAGATGAGTTCATACTGGCTCGTGAAACGGTAGTCCGTTTTGTGCAAGACTCCATCGCCGAAGCGGTGGATAAGCAAAAGCAAAACGCTGACAAGAATGGAAGGGCAAACACTCTTTTATTTAATAAAGGTGACTTAGTCCTACTGTCTACGGTTAATCTACCAAAACATGTAGTGACTAACTTGGGTAGCAGTAAACTACTACCCAAGTACATTGGCTCATTTCGTGTATTGCACCGCCTAGGCAATGCATACACGATCGAGTTACCACGTAAGATGCGAACGCATCCCACGTTTTACGTTGGTCGGCTTAAGCCGTACCATCAGTACGCTGCTTCTTCCGATGAAGAACGCCCTTGCGCTCAAGCATCTCGCAGAGAGCCTTGTGCTCCTGATGGTGGGCATCAACAAGGGTCTGAAGAGCAGTTATCTCAGCCCGAGACCGATCAACAATCCCCACGAGCTACCCTTAGCTCGTCACGAAGAGATGTCAGAGATCTCTCGTTCTCAAGCTGAGCAAAGGCAAACTCAGCTCGATGCTTCGAGGCAGTGTCCACCATCTGGAGACGCCTATTCCGCTCATGCTCGAGATCGTCGCGTAACCCTTGCGTTACGCGATCAAAGAAGCTCTCGGGAACACACCGATCCACATGATCGTGTGGAGAGCGTCTTTCCTCCTCCTCCACCTCCATTAGAGGACTCTCGCGGTGGCCAGCGCTATCTAGTAGAGCAGCTGTTGAACCACCGCGACGTGAACGGACGTCGGACGAGTTACCTCGTCCGGTGGCGCGGCTATCCCCCGTCCTGGGATTCTTGGGAGCCCCGCTCCCAATTGATGGTTGACGTACTGGGTCTGGTCGAGCAGTACGACGCGACACATCCTGTGCCGCAGAAGGACCGCCGGAGAAAGTCTTCCCGGCACGGTCGTAAAGGGATTTCAGGTTGTCAATCCCTTCGTACATCTCAGTAGAGACACGTACGCGCCACCACGGGCTGGTAAGGAGGTAAGCCTCCTTAGGTGCTCGTGCAGAGTTGTTCACACAACATGGGCACGAGTCTCCCCAAGAGAGGCAGGGTAATCCTTTCTCCCTTGACAGACGATGCAGCTTGTAGCGTGCACCTGTCGGGGTTCGCTTTTCAAACTTATCACGAGCTTTGATAAGTTTGTCGTTCCAAGCGTCACGACCTACATCCTCGAGATTATGGATGTAGGCGTTCCACGCCTGAAGTAGTGAGGGACCATCACGTTTGTGATTCCCACTGTACCATCGATGTCTGAAGAAAGCATCGATGAAGAACTTCATGTTCAGCGCGATAGTCTTTCGCGCTGGGGTCAAGGTGATGGATCCTTGACGAATCGAACAATCGTGTTCGATAACGATCACTCGTCGTCGCCGACAAGTGATCCATGACGGATTTAGGAGGCATCCATGCCTTCTTTTCTGGAGCGAGACGCAACACATTGCGGTCCCGCTCTTCCTGCGACGTGCCGACAGAAGTACTGGCACCCGCTGTGAAGTGGTGTCCATTGGAGAACCGACACCACTATTAGCGCCCGAGTCTCGCGACCTCGAGCGCCTTCGTTGGCGATGGTTCATCTGACTCATCAGATGAACCAAAGATGCTGCGACGCAAAGCATCGTCCATGCCACGCTTGGCAGGCGGCTTGGATTCAATTGCCGTCGATACGGATCCGTCATCCGTATCAGGAGAGTACGAGACACCGAGCTCGTACTCTGTGAAGACACGAGTGTCTTCATGACCAGCGCCTGCATCACCAGGTGATACAGGCTGAGTCGATTCAGCAACCGATGGGACATCAGTTGCTGTAGTTTCTGCTTCGGCGTCCGCACAGAGACGTGCAGACGCGCTCTCGGCGGCCTTAGCTCGCGCATCGCATGGGCTTGTTTACCATGCGATGAGATGTTGGAAAGTGGACGCGGACCAACAAGTGCAAACCCCGTCCCAAATGATTTGGGACGAGTATCCATTTAGTCAATCAGTCACTAAAGTGACTGATGGTTAAGGGGGGTGATGTAACGGGGTGAATCGTTACATAACAATTTATAAGAAATTGTTAATAGAATATAACTATAAGAGTTATATTCTCAGAATATTGTCATAAGGACAATATTCGGTAGCACTTCCAAGTAGTTCCTAATTGGTTGATATAGGCCATTATATCAACCAACGAAGACGCGCCACGACAGACGCACGCAATGAGTGGTGAGCAGATAACTGATTTACACATTTGTATTTAGACATAGTTAGATGAAGATAAATAGTGATTTATTGCGGACATTAACTATTATAAATACAGTTCTACTTTTTACTCTAACCAAGTACTCGCTTCTTCTTACCGTCTTCCTCTGCACGTACGAGTGTACGTGAAGTTACGAGGCACCGCCTTATTCTGTTATCAGAATAAGTAGCTTGTACTGTCACCAGTACAAGCTTCAGGGTGCCCCGTTACAATCATGGTTAAGATAGTCGCCGGAGCAGAGAATCCTGCTGACACGTTTACGAAGGGTTTACCAAATCGCAGCCTTTCAAGTGTCGAGCCGCTATTGGCTATGAGAGCCTCATAGGAGTCAAGGTTTTCCCGTGCAAGCGTCGGAGGGGGCGTGTTGTAATATGTTTTCAGCTTGAAGCCGTTGGAACCTCTAAAGTACGCTTACCGTCCGTCGGTTGAAACGAGGGATAAGGGAGACGACGGATATCAGAATGGGACGAGTCGATAGACGAAGGTAACGATTAGCAGGTTAGCTGCAACCGCGTGCAGGAATAGCTCAGTCAAAAAAGGGCAAAGTGCCAGGCAAGTCGTCTTTAGCCAGAAAGAGCTAAGCTAAGTGATATATATCATTGTGTGTTAAGGTATAAACATCTAATGTTATCAGGAACACAGAACTAGCTAAAAGTTCAGCGCTAGAGAGATAGCACCACGTACCACCTTCCTCGCGAGGTCTTTTTCTTTTTTCTTTCCTCTGTAAGAGGAAGGGGATGACGTATTGCTTTATTTACTTCACGATGTTGCTAGCAACCTTCGTATCCTTCTACTTTATCCTCAGCTAGTCAGATAGATTTTGGATGTAAAATCCTTATAGACGTTAGCCAGAACAACGAAGTACATCCACGTTCCAGTTGGATTTCCAAGCAAATTTTAATTTCTGCAAACATCTCGACGTCTACAAGGTGCACTATTGCACGAGTAATTTGAAAAAGTCCATTTGGCGTGCCCACCGCGTCCACCGATTCAACAGTACCAAAAGAAGGCTGCATGTACATCAGCGGATCGTCAACGGATACTTGAGCGTCTCGCTCGACAAATGCAGTTTTTTTCTGACGTGGCAACATAACAAGGATCTTCTTTGCCGCGTAGTTATCTAGTGCGATGGCATCCACACCATAATATGTGTCGCTTAGATTTAGGATATCTTTAAAGTCCGCGTTCGATCCCGCAATAGCTATCTCGCCAGATAACATGAAACGATTCTTACTTCCGGCAGGCTCGTAACCTACAGTTGCTTTACAACATGCAATCCGAAAACGTTTTGCCGATTTTCGGGTTCTGAGAATCACAAGATTGCACATTTCTGGGCGATTCAAAGCACCCAAACAAACGTTTCATAACTGCGGATAGCAATGACGTACATGTACATGAGAGACAAGGTCCTTCTCGCCAAGAATAAATGCGTCATCTGGTAATGCGATTAGTGTGCCAGTAATGAGGTCAGTATCGGGGTAATCCTCTCCGGAACGCTTTCCGGAATTTGTTCGGTGGAGTTCCTGGATTCAAGATTCCTCATGGACGGTAATGGTGACATCGTCTAACATTACTGACTTCTGCGGAAGCACCACCAATACATGGACAACGTACTTTCCAAGAAGTAGATCAGAACCGAACAGGCTTGGCTTTCCTGATTTTCACGACGCAGGCATCTTCTCCATTTGATCCGGAACTCGTTCGGACAGAAGCATTTCGTCTAGATGAACGTCATCTGGCATCCACGTCCCGTTTTGTTTCACCAGATAGAGCTGCAGGTCACTGGCATCTCAAGTGCTCGTTTGTTTCTTCTTCCTATTTGGATTCTTCAAGTTACCTAAGAATTCATTCGTGTCGATTTGACGATGATTATACTTTTGGGCACACTGACGATGGCACAACCTAGCGTACCTACGACCATATTTCCGTGACTTGGCAGAATGTCGAATAGCAAAGAATTTGGACATTGGTTTTGTATTCGAAACGAGCAGCAAAAATTTACGAATGGAAAGACAGACTGATGTAGACTCGTGACATGACATGACTAGACAATTCACGACACGCAATGGATAAGTACAGGGACAAAATGCAATAACCTTTTCCAATAGTTGCACTCTTGATCCCAGTAGCTGAAGAGTCCAAGACACGATCGATGCGTGACAGACGTGGAAAGAAAGTTATTGGCATCTCATGCTACATTTGTGTCCGAATGGAAGTCAAACTTGACTTTTCCATACACAGAAACAATTCCAACTTCCTCTTTCTCACGCTGCATGTGTCTTGCTTTTCCTGGTTAGAAATAACGAATGTACTGATGAGTGTCGGCGTGTGACGTGATACCAACAGTACTCTGCAGCTCGCTTACAGTGTCTCCGTATACCTCAGCTCCAGGACGTAACTCGCTTGATCAGTAATCTCCGCCTTTGTTTGTAGACCACTGCTTGTAGCTGTTTGATCATACCACCGCTGCGCGCTGCTTCGCCTTGCTGTGCCACCACTTATTCGATCGTGAAACCATGATATGGATGTGCTGCATTTCCATTGATGCTCGCGATATGATTCGTACGTTAAGGGCATCGCACTGGACTTCATCGGGACAAACTAATCGCGCGGAGGTTACCAGCTGAACGTGTTTTTTGTCTTTGATCATCTGGATGGCAATACCGTGATCTTTTCGAGCTTTATCACGAAAATGGCACAATTGTACGCGTATGATCACGTATTTTACACAAAATTAAAAAGGCCAAGAGAGCACGACGCTGAGATCGACTGATTCATTACACGTGACTCAGAACGTAAAATTGATTGTGTAGTGAGTTATCGCATCGGTTGCAGAACACGAAGAGGCTGTCCACGTGGTCTTGGATCGCTCTTTTTTCCAAAACAAAAGCGTTCGGTTGATGACACAAACTTAGAAACGCGTATTTTGAATAACGGGCGGAGCGGGATACGCTAGGATTGTGAGGACTTCGCGTGCCGAATATTAAACATGTTATTTGCCACAGCTCACTTCAAATTTACTGCGACGCAGATAGCTGCTAGGCCTATATCGTTACTCATGTGCGCATCTAAAGATCCGATTAGCGTCCAATTGCTTGTGAATTATTCGTCTGTCGACCGTCAGTGCACTAACAGAGCATGCGACACAATGACAACAAGCAGCATTTGAAAAAAAAGTTTGTAAATTAATAGCAAAATGGTGTGACTCACTTCTCCTTGACTACCCATTGTCGTATAAAGATAGGAGCCTACAAAGTATTGCTTATACGGTCATCGGACGTATCGCGAAGTCCGTTGTCAAGCATAGCATTTAAAACTTTGTAAGAAATAATTCTGGCACCTCATAAAAATACTCACTTCATTTGTGCTGTTGGCCACGTTTGATGCTTGCGTTCTTCATCAAGCTACGTAGCAACAATGAGACAACCACAATTTCGTCAGAACATTTTTTCAAATTACATGTTTTTACCAAACATGATAGCAAATATTGTGAGACGACATTCGACTGCTGTCCACATGTAACGGAGTCACACGACTGTTACCACCCGAAAGTAATATCACTGCGCCAAGAAGTCAGAGTTGTTCATCCCAGAGTGAATGTCAGAATTGGATTGTGTAATCATCTCGTTGAAAGAAGGAGGGCCAGCCAAGTCCCTCAGCTCTATACTGCAACAAATTGACTGAACACACCTCAGAGACCCTGGGCCGTCTCGATTCTATTATAGTATCTCGTCAAGATGAACCAGTCGAGTTAGTACTAAATACATATGTTTATGACGTAGAAGAATGTAGGGTCCATGTAACGGGGTGAATCGTTACCTAACAATATATAAGAAATTGTTAATAGAATATAACTATAAGTGTTATATTCTCAGAATATTGTCATAAGGACAAATATTCTGTAGCACTTACGAGTAGTTCCTGATTGGTTGATATAGGCCATTATATCAACCAACGAAGGCGCGCCACGACAGACGCACGCAATGAGTGGTGGGCAGATAGTTGATTTGCACATTTGTATTCAGACATAGTTAGATGAAG